CCACCCCACCCTATCCCCGGCTTTACCAAAGCATCAGCGATGTCTGACGGGGCCATCACTCTTCCTGTGACAGTCTTCAGACTGACCCCAGGGCAGAACAATCATGTGCAGACCTGCCCCTTCCCACTGAGAACAGGTAGGAACAATCCAGGGTGTGGGGTCTTTGGGGGACCACAGAGGCCTGTAGCCAGGGGTACAACGAGTGAGGTGTGAGGGTAGGTGAGATGCTCAAAGCAGAGCACACACTTCAAGAAGGCAGAGAGATGTTGCAAGAGAGATGCTTTGAGACTGGACCCATCTCATGATCCAACAGTGTCACATGATTACTATTGGTATTAGCATTCTGGCTCTTTCTATTTTTTCAGAATACTTCAAATTCCTCCCCTCCCCCCAAACCCACATTAAAGGCCTTGAAAGTTCCCCTCTTTGCTGGAAACGGTGGTGCACCCCTTTAATTCCAGCACTCACCCAGGGGTACAACGAGTGAGGTGTGAGGGTAGGTGAGATGCTCAAAGCAGAGCACACACTTCAAAAAGGCAGAGAGATGTTGCAAGAGAGATGCTTTGAGACTGGACCCATCTCATGATCCAACAGTGTCACATGATTACTATTGGTATTAGCATTCTGGCTCTTTCTATTTTTTCAGAATACTTCAAATTCCTCCCCTGCCCCCAAACCCACATTAAAGGCCTTGAAAGTTCCCCTCTTTGCTGGAAATGGTGGTGCACCCCTTTAATTCCAGCACTCAAGAGGCAGAGGCAGGTGCATCTCTGTGAGATCAAGGCCAGCCTGGTCTACATAGCAAGTTCTGTCTCAAGAAAAAAAAAAATCCCTCCTTAATATTACACTCTTTATCATAACAAGTGACAGACAACTGTCAAAGCCACTGTCCTGGGGAGTGAGCTATGTTGAGTGACAGCTCCCCACACACTGGAGGTGTGCAAGCAAGAGCCAGTTGACCAATGGTTGCAGGACCTTCTATCTGAGCCCAGAGGGAGGATTCTGTAGAGAGCCCCTTCCCCCAAGCTGCATCACTCACTGTACCTTCTTAGTTGTTTCCGTCTGTGAAAAGGGATAAATGAGTCATTTTACATGTTCTGAAATGTCAGTGACAGAGTACAGTTGAAAGTAATTCTAACTCTGGCTGGACATGGTGATGCGTGCCTTTAATCCCAGCATTCAGGAGGCAAAGTAGACGGTTCTCTGTGAGTTTGAGGCCAGCCTGGTCTACGTAGTGAGTTCCAGGCCAGCTGGGGCTACAGGAAGAAAGTAATTCTAATTCTGTAAAGAGTTACCCACAAGGTCTAGTGGAACAGGACTGTAATCTCAGCTACCCGGGAGGCTGAGGCAGGAGGATCGGCCTGAGCTACAGAGTGAAGTCCAGGCTAGCCTGGGCAACTTTGTAAGACCTTGTTTTAAAATAAAAAGTAGCAGAAGGCTGGGGATATAGCTCAGTGGTCTAGTGCTTGCCTAGCATATGGGACGCTCTCAATACCACCAAAAATTTTACAAGTTTCCTACAGGCAACAATAAAAAAAACATCCCTTTATGAACTCCAGTACTTTTTTAGCTCTGAAGTTCTTTAATCTGGTACCTTTCTTGAGTTTATTTTCTAGATAGAAAAAAAAGCACCAAAACCCAGGAAACTAGAGGTGGGCAGGGGAGACTATGTATAAGGAGAAGGGACTGAACTGCAGAACTGAGTTAAAATCAGAGTTGTGAGCTCAAAGTTCTGGTACTGTCTGCTCTAGTAGACTCTATGTTTTCTTTTCATTTGGGAGGGGCAGGGGGAGCTTTTTGAGACAGGATCTCCCTGTAACCCCAGCAGGCCTACAGCTCACCATGTAAACCAGACTGGCCTCGATTTCACAGAGATTTGCCTGCCTCTGCCTTCCAAGTTCTAGGATTAAAGGTGTGTGCCACCATGCCCAGCCTTTATTTATTTTTTATTTATTATTTATTTATTTTTCTATTGTAAATCTAGTAAACAAACAGGTTTTTCCTTTAAGTCCCCTTAAAAGTGT